GTAGTCTTACTCATTCTCCATTGTAGGTAACTTTGTCTGTCTTGAGATATGTCTCGGTGATTTTCTTTTGAGATCTCCCGTTTGGGGTTCATTCAGCTTCTTGCATGCTTACCTTCTAGTCTCATGATGTTAAGGTTTTTTTTCCTGCGACCCTTTAACAATTTTTTGCTTTTATTGCTTCTTCCTATTCTGAAATCCCTTTTCATGGTGCCCCATGTAACTCTTAAGGCTTCTTCAGAATTCCTTTTTTGTCCTGATTGCTCTTCTAGCATACTGGTATTGTGGGATTTATCTTCAAACTCATTAATTCAGGTTTCCATTGATTCAAGGTTACTCCTTTGCCCTTTCAATGTATTGATCAGTTCTGAAATCTTAGTTTTAATCTTCTGGATTTCTAATTGCAAGTTTTGTATAGTTTCAAATTTTGCATTTGTCTGTTCTTGTAGTGTTTTCCTGAATTAGTCTAAAGTTTTTATTGTGTTCTCCTTGCTTTCCCGGATCTAGCTATCCTTTGAAGGGACCTAGTTCACATTCTTTTGAATTCTTTTTCAGTTAGTTCTATTACCTTTTCTTCTTCAGAAACATCTTCTGGCTCTGCATCTTGGTCATTTGTTACAGACATTCCCTCTTTTCTCTTTGTTGTCTCTAGGACATTGTGGTGTTGTCGTACTTGTATTTAATAGATGATTTGTATGTTGACGTGTTCTTAGGCTCTCACCACTGTCTCTGGTTGATGTAGTCAAAGGGCAGCGTGGGCACTGCTCTCTAGCAGCCATCTAGGCACCTCAGTGTCGGGTAGCTGTACCAGGGGGTGTAGGACCTGCAGATGGGGTACAGCTGAGGCTGGGCTGTATAGGCATGGCTGCTGTTTCCTCTCAGGTGGGAAAGAAGAGAAAGCCCCTCCCACACAGATATACAGGAAAACAAAGCCGAATAAACAAATGAGGAACTACCAATGAAAAGAGGAAAAAGAAGTAAAAACAGACAGCCACCAGAAAAAAATAAAAATACAATCACTAAAAACAGAAGAGGGACAGGAAAATGGAACCATAAAAGGGAGGAAATAAAAATAAAACACAAAAAACAAGGAGAGGGAAGATGAAAAGAGGAGTCGAAAGTAGTAAAGAAAGTTCGAAAGAAAAACCAAAATGAGAAACCGAAGAAAACCCAAAGCCTAGATTGTTGTTGTTGTTAAGTGCCGTCGAGTCGGTTCCGACCCATAGCGACCCTGTACAGGGTTTCCGAGGGTGTAAATCTTTACGGGAGTAGAAAGCCTCATCTTTCTCCCGCGGAGCGGCTGGTAGTTTCGAACCGCTGACCTTAAGGTTCACAGCCCGATTCGTATAGAAAGGGTAAAATTCAAGGGACTAGAAAGAGGAGAACAAATAAACAAAACAATGAAAGGAAAAAAACAAAGCCAAAGCCAAAACAGCCACTGGACCCAGAGGGAAAAGCTCTGGGGGACTCCCGCCAGTCAAGCTGCTCAGGAGGTGGGTGGAGGAGGGAGTTCCTACAGGCCTAGGTGTTATCTGCATTCTGGGCAATCCATTCAATGAAGGCTGGGTTTCGGTGTCTGTTAGGACCACAGGGCACCTGGGGTCTGGGTGGCTGGTTCTGAGTTTCTGCTAGATCTAACACTGGTCTGATGCCTCTGTGGTTTCTGCAGGTCTGGAGTTGAGCCTGAACCCAGACACCAAACCGTGTAGCCGTCCGCCTGACACCCACAAGACTTTCAAGCACAAAGCTCCTAACTCCTGCAGCACTATGTCTGCCCAAGCTGACCACACCCCTGGCATCCAGGGGAGCACGGGGAAAACGAAAGAATCCCACCTTTCCCATCCTGATGTGTGAATCTGCTCTACCAGACCACCCTCTGTTGCCAAAGCTGCTCACAAAGGTTAAGGTCACACCACATCTGGCCAGCTGTTTACCAGTCTCCGTTTCTCACTGTCCCTGCTCGGCTTCTCCTCCCAGCAAGCTCTCCATCCTGTTCTCCAGCCCTTCCTCTGAAGTACAGGATTCCAGGGGTTCACCTGTGGGTTGTTTCTTGTAGGTAGTCCCTACAGTGCGCCGGCCTAGTCTAAAGTCTTGCAGAAGTCCCAAGGCTGTAGTTCTTACACAGAAGCAAAATGCCACATTTTTCTCTGTGGAGAGTGACTGATGGGTTTGAACCTGCTGTTTGGTGGGCAAGCGCTTTAAGGATGGCACCAAGCCATGGTTGTTGTTAAGTGCAGTCCAGTGGATTCTGACTCAAAAGGACCCTGTATAGGGTTCCCAAGGAATGGCCTGCATGCGGTTAGCGGTTCAGTGCTTATCCCACAGTGCTACATCAGGCCTGGGACCTGGTTAATACCATGTAGTGGAGAACACTGGGGAGACAGACCCATGGGTCCTGGCGGGAAGGAGGGGGAAACACTCTCCATTTCCCTTTAAAAACAGCGAGCTGCTGTCCCATTTTGTAAAAAACAAACCAAGACACAAATTTGTACCCGACTGTTAACGATGCGTGGGTAGGGGGGTAGCTCAAGGGCTCGGTGATGCAATGAGGAAGGGACAAAACTCTGGACACACGGAGAGGTGGAGGTAGGAGGCTAAAGAGATGCCCTTCTGAGCATGGTCCCCTTGCTGTGCCTACCCAGGGCCCGGGTCTCTAGACTATAGACAGGAGAGGAGGTGGCACACCCCAACTCCTCAACAACCACCCCCCCTTCAATACCCATCACTCTAGGTCACCACCTAAGTGGATCATGGGGTGACAACCCCTCAATCCAGGCCAGACTGGCCCCAGCAGAGCCCCTCCCACAATGGGCGTGTCCCCAGGTGCCACACCCCTCCCAGGACTTGGGTCTGCGTTGACTGGGCAAAGCAGCAGCAAAGCCTGGGGGCAAGGCCTTCTCTTCCCCAAACACTTGGCTACCATATTGCCCTCTACTAATGGAACCCCCAAAACCTCCTAGCTGGAATCTGGCTGCACCCCAGCCACCCCAATTCTTCTGAACCTGTGTGCCCCATTATTCCAAGGAAAACCCCAAGGTTTATGAAGTTAAAATGACTTTCCTGTGATCCTCTGCGGGGATCTGGTCCAAGAGTATGGAGTTGGGGCGCAGCCTACATACTTGTAGCACCCTACTTGGCCCAAACTCCAGGTGGCGCCCTAGTTCCGCACCACTCCGGACTCTGGGTCCTTGAACCCTCCAACACACGCACAAAGTAAAATATACCAGCAACCTCCAGTCACGTGCTTCCCGTACTCCACCGGGGTGTCTCAAACCCTGAATTCTGGATCCCAACCCCACGATTCTTCACCCACCCAGTCAATGACTCAGCCAGAAACTCAGGTGATGGGATGCCCCCATTGTCTCCAACCCACTGCCACCCTTACCACTTTGTACCAGCCCCCCTCTGCTCACAGTCTAATACCAACCTCTCTGCCCAGCAAGCTGAGGCTGATGAAGAGGCAGCTGGCAGAAATCCCCGTTCCTAAGGCAGCCCGGGGTGTCACCCCTCCATCTGCTTGCCTTCAGGCACGTCTTCCCAACTGTCTCCTCACTACCGCTCATCTCGGCGAGGGCCCCCCATTATCCACCACAAGAGCTGGGTGAAGCCTGGGCCTTCCCAGCTAGAGGACTCAGTTCCCACACTGCCCCGCTCCCCTCACCCCGAAAACAGGCTGACAAGTAGGACACGTGTTTGGGCCTTCGGCAGGACGATGAAAACACCTAGAGTGGGGTCTTCCTGTCCACTGTCTCCACTGAGCCTGGGCAGAGGGCCCTGGCTTGCTGGGAACTGGCTGGTACACTGTTGCTGTAAGCACACACATTACAGAAACCAACACCTCAGGCTACCTGCAGGTCACGATCCCGGATGCCTTTCCTGAGCTGGGGCGACCCTGGTCCAAGTACCCTCATCCAGGCCAGCTAGGCCCTGCCCAGGCTGGCCCCCTTCAGCACAGATGGGGGTCACGGCTGTGTTTATCATTCCAAACCGGAATCACCTTCTTGCCCTGGTGGTGGAGAGTTCATGGTGAAAAGCTGGCCTGAGCCCCCACCCAGTGTAAATGGGGGGAGGGGGAACACTGATGGCCCTGGGACTGTTATTTGTGTTATGTCCTGTCACCTGGATTCCAAATCAGGGTGGGCCACGGAGACAGAGCAAAGGCAGTAATGTTGACAGGAGCAGATTCCCGTGAAGCTGTCCACTGGTGGGTTTGAACCTCTAACCTTTTGTTTAGTAACTCAGTACCTAACTGTGGTGTTACCAGGTTTCCTCCAGGAGCCAGAGGAAGGGGAATCAAGCCCCCAGCGCACACCAGGGGCGGGAACCCCATTGACCTCCGTTACAGCTGACCTCAGAGTCAGAAGGTACCCTGCAAGCCTGTCACCGCAGTACTGTCTGGGAGCCTGTGACGAAGCAGGCATGGTACATCCCCCAGGAGCCAGGTTAGCAGTCAAGGCTGCTGAGAGGGGCTCCACGAGATTCCAGAGCTGTAGTGGAGGCTGAGCCGGCTGAGCGCAGGGCCGGGATTCCTGGACCCGGCTCCTCTCCACGATGGGTCCTCTCCTTCCAGAGTTCTGAGACAGGACTCTCCTTGGTGGCAATAGGCACCTACCTCCCCATGCCGTCGGGAGTACGCAAGGCTCCTACACCACTTCCTCCTCTTCTCCTCCATACGCTGCCCAGGCCATGGGGTCACGGTCCCAGGGGCCCACCTTCCTGCAGTTCTCAGGGTCCTGGTTCAGAAGGCCCTACCTCCCCTGCTGAGGCCCAACGAGCTCCTCCCGTCCCCACACCACACATCGCCCTCAGGTGGACCACAGGCTGACAGCTGCAAGGACCCACAATTCTCACACAAGTAAGACTCAACACAGAGATGGTCCTGCAAGGGCGCATTTATCCAAGCCCCCACTCCAGCTCGGCCACTCGATTCCGAGACCACCTTCCCAACGAGCTGGCCTTACAGTACCCACTGGGCGCAGCGTCGTCATCATCACGATCCTCGGTCATGGCCTGGCCACCTCCGCCTGCCACACCAGCTCACCCGAGATGTAGGTGGCCTGAACGTGGAGGGCATCATCCAGCAGCACAAAGTCTGAAGGGAGGTGGCAATGAGAAGGGGCAGAGGCTGTGTCATTAGCCCCTTCCCCACCACCAACCAGCTCAAGGGGAGACTGGGGCCCAGCCGGACGCCCTGACCCATCAGGTCAGATTGAGGTGACCCTGACCTGCATCAGCTCCGAAGTCTAGGGTCCCTTTGCATTCCTCCAGCCCCAGCAGCTGTGCAGGGTGCAGGGAAGCAGCCTCCAAGGCCGACTCCAGGCTGCAGCCTGCAGGTGGCACAGGACACAGCTCGGTGAGCCCATGGGCACGCCTGTCCCTGAGGCTGTGCACAGACCTGCTAGCCCCAGGCCCCTCCCCTCACTACCTGTGGCTTCCAGGAAGTTCCGCACGCACACGTCCATGGGAGCAATGCTGCCGCAGAGCGTTGTGGTACCTAGAGAGCAGAGGCTGAAGCATGGGGACACGGAGGAGCCCGGATTCTGGCCTCCCACCCTAAGGGGCTGTCTTCATGGAGGGCTGGTAAGGGGCAGGGGGCACTCACCTGCCACATAGGCCGACAACTCGTCCACCTCCACCACCTGCTGCCCCAGTGTGTGGCGGCCATTGCCCAGGCCTAGGGCAGGGATGGCATCAGTCACCAGTACCAGCCCTGGTGGGGGGAGGCCATGGGAAAGATGTGAGGTCCTGGCAGACAGTCCTCCACCTGCACTGCCCTCCCCACCAGCCACGCTGCTCACCCTGGGGGTGGGCCCGGTGGGCAATGCGCAGGGCGGCCGGGTTAGTGTGGATGCCGTCAGCAATCATCCCGTAGAAGACGCAGCGGCCTGCGGGCACCTGGTCACTGGTCAGGAGCCCCACGATGCCTGGGTCTCGGTGGTGGAACTGGGCGGACGGAAAGGGCAGCTGAGCGGGTGTGGACCCCAAGCACCCCGCCTGCCCAGGGGCAGGGCAGCACTCACTGGTAACATGGCGTTGAAGAGGTGGGTGATGAAGGTGGCCCCGCTCTGCACCGCCTTCTCTGCCATCTGCAGGTCAGCCACCGAGTGCCCTGAGCAGGTGGGGCTGAGGTCAGACCCTGGGCTGGTCCCACCCCGCCTTCACCCATCGGACGACCCCTCACCGAGGGACACGCGGATGCCGAGGGCCGTCAGCTCCCGGATCACCTCATGGCTGCGGTCCAGCTCAGGGGCAAGAGTCAGGATGCACACGTTGTCCAGGCATCCGTAGGTGGCCAACACGTCTTTGAAGGCATTGGCTTCAAAGGAGCGGAGGTGGGCCTCGGGGTGTGCACCCCGTTTCTGCTGGCTGATGAATGGACCTTCCAGGTGTACTCCTGGAAGAGCGGGCGGGCGTGGTTCTAGTAGGCACCCCCACCCGGGTGCCTTTCACCTGCCCCCACTCTCTGGTTATGGGGTATCTAGAGGGAGAGGGGCTGCCAACAGATACCCCCCACCACCACCCAGAGTCTCACAGGAGGCCAGCCACTCACCGAGGACCCCTGCCCCATGGGGGCCACCTCTCTTCACAGGGATGTGAGGAAGGACCTGGGGGGAACCAGCTGTTAAAGTCCTGGCCTCCAGAGCCCACCACCCAGGAAGTCACAGCCCGGCCAGGGTCAGAGCTCAAAGGTCAGCATTCAGAGCCACGCCCCAAGCTCCAGCCCTGCCCAGCCCAGAGTCCAAAGTCAAGTCCAGCAGCGCCCAGCCCAACCCCTGCAGGCCTCTCAGGCATATCTGAAAGAATGAAGCGAGCCCACAACACAGAGAAAGCAGCTTGGGGCGGGGCAGGGGGTGGGGGGGAGCAGGACCCAAAGATGCACTGGCTCGCCGGCCATCTCAGGCCAGTGAGAAGTCTTATTATCCGTGAGGCAAGAATCGGGTGTTAAACAACAGAAACGGGAGAAAACAGGCTCTTCAAAACGAAAACCACGAAGCAGAAACACAAAAAACCCAACAAGAACTGGAAGATACCCACCGAGGAAATGTTCAGGATGTAGAGACAAGAAAGAAGGAAAATGAGGAAGAAAAAGCAAAGCAAAGCAGACCCCAAGCCTCGACACTGAGACAACCCCAGGGCCTTCTCCTCACGTCGTCCTGAGAGTTCAAGACAGGACAGAGAGACGATCCCACAGCCTCCAAAAAGAAACAGGCTGTGGGGTCAGATGGCTTCCAATTTCTCTTCAACAACCCTGGAAGTTCAAAAACAATACAGCACACATCTCAGTGCCCATCAACCAACGGCTGAGTGCTCAGCCAGTAGAAGAAATGAAGTCTTGAAATATACAGCAGAATCAATCAATTACAAGACGACAAATATTGAAGGAGAAACGGAAACAGGAAAACATAGGGAGGCATCAATGGTTCCTGGGGGGGACTGCGATCAACCACAGGAAATAACTGGGCCTGACTTGTTGGATGGGAAACTGATTGGCTCTGTAAACCTCCACCCAATTCACAATAAACAGTGAACCGATGAAGAGGGCGGATACTGAACGACCCCACTTACATTAAAAAAAAAAAAAGACAGATGTATGAAGCCCAACATTACCAGGGGTGGGCAGGAGGGGAAACAGGGTCATTAGTGGGGATGAAGGATCACATTAAGGGTAGGGTGCGTGGTCAATTTATTATAATTGCTGTTAATAAGCTGTGCGCCTGAAAAAAAGGTGAATTGGCAAAACGTAGTAGGGCAGATCTATTTACAACAATCACAGAGAGAGAAGCTAGTGAGGATGCTGAGCACACGCAAACACACCTCAGGGGCTTTGCTTCTCTGGTTTGAATATTTAGGGTCATCGTTCCATGGGCCGTCCAGTTAACTGGCCTAACAATGTGTTTCATGCTTGGGTTCGCTCTGATTTGGTGTGTAGCACCTGGGGTCTTGGAGTTCTGTCGTGGCGCTGTGAGTTAATGCGCCAGAGTGCAAAGCCGGTTTGAACTGCAAGACTGGTGGTTCAAGTTTACCAGCTGCTCCTCGGAAACCCTATACAGGGGCACTGTGGGTCAGAAATGATTCAACGGTACTTAACAACAACCACCTGGGGTCTTAAAAGTTTGCAAGTGACTCTACACAACACAATTGTTGTTGTTGTGCATTGAGTTGGTTCCCACCCACAGCAACCCTGTATAAGGTTTCCGAGGAGTGGATAGTGAGTTTGAACTCCAGACCCTTTGAGTTTCAAATCGACTTTGCAGTCCAGTGCACTAACCCACAGCACCCCACCAGGGCTCCCACACAGCACAGCAGCTGGTCTCTATTCACTTAGTACACCAGAGGAGGGCACAGTGTGTGACCGTCTCCACGAACAACTGCCCCCAACTCTACCGAGACACCAAAAGAACAATGGTGCCCAACTCCCATCATTGAACATTTTGATCCAGAACGCCATAGAAGAATCCTGATCAAATGGGGGAACAATGCAGAACAAAACGTAAAACTGCCACGTGTTCTAGGCTTCCTAGGACCATGGAGGTTAGCCCCTGGAATGGCTGCCCTGAGGTAATCCTTAAACTTCAAACCAAAACGACTTCCTGAAGTCTTAACACTGAACAACTGTTTAGTGTAGGCACATTGTGCTTCTGTAGGGACTATCCCCATGGGATGGAACTGACAACACCAACGTGAGAGATTTGATGGGACCCTTAGGGGAAGTGAGTTGATGAGAGTGACGGAGGAAGCATCAGGAAGGAAAGGGGAGGTAGATGTACAGCTCCAAGAACGTCATCCATGTCGCTGAATAGGACAGGTAGCAACTGCTGAATTGGTGTTGGTTTTGCTAATGTAGCTTCTTAAACGCAACAAAATAAGAATAAAAGGAAAAAAATCAACGCAGCGATGCCTTTCAAATCCTTCCAGTCTGAGGCTGGAAAACACCTACAACAGAAAGACAATTCTAGCCCAACCAGCTCATCAATAAGAGAACAGAACCCTTTCTATACCTGCAAGGTCTCACAAGATTGACCTCCCATGACCCTTTCTATGGAAGCTACTGGAAGATGTGCTTCATCTAAGTGAAGGCATAAACAGAAAAGAGGAATACGCAGGCACCTAGCGGGAAAAGACCAGGGACTCACCCAGGCAGGGCAGGGACCATCGAGGACAGCCTGGCTGAAAGCATGCATGGTGCACCTCGATGCCCAGAGAAGAGACAGTCTCCAGGCAGCGTGTCGGGAGCAGACCAGAGGAGCTAGGTGGCACCCAGCTGTCATTACAGACTGTTCTGATCAAGGTCACACAGATGGCCCCTGAAGAGACCCACTGACACCGAGGTGATTGACTCAGCACCCCTACACAGCTGAGACCTGCTCCATAACCCAGATCTCCTGCGTTAAGGTTGTCCATCTTCACAGCAGTCAGTCCTTTCTCCTGAGGAGTCACTGCTGGGTTGGAACCACAGACCTTGTAGTTAACTGCCCAATGCATAACCCACTGCGCCATCAAGAGATAGAACAGAAGAAATATGTCCAACAGAACTCAAATTTTTTAAAAGTCCAGGCTTCCTGAAGCAGGTGAGACTAGAAGACACTCTTTAAACCTTGAACTAAAACTCTCCAGAGATCTACCTTTCAGAGATAACAATTTGGCACAAAAGTTCCATTAAAAACACCCCTATATTGGAAATGTAAAGGTAGACGTTTTATTGCAAGGAAGGGAGTGATTAACTTCCAGACTAGGAGCAGAGGTCCCTAGGACAACAGTGATGCCTGAGATGGAGGCAGAGACGATGACGTGGAGCGATGGAGCAGCTGGGGACTTTAGATCCAGAGAGGGAGACGGACTGTGTGCTGAAGACTGGGAGGGTAGTGTAGGGGGCAGACTTACAGTGTATACCCTTTGGCTGGTTGATGATGCATAGAGGGAATTGTAATCATGGCAATGAAACAATATACGATAGAATAAATGTAAAACTAATGTTCTCCCATAAAAAAAAAAAAGGCATACGATGTTTCCTTCAAAAAAAAAAACCTATATGAGAAGCTTTTTCCAGGCAAGGAGTCCTCTTTCGTTTGCTCACTGAGCTCTGCTTGCAGCTCCCAAACACTCATCTTAACTCCTGTCTCAAACAAAGAAACCTCAACAGCAGGAGACTTTGGCCTCTGAACTTGCCAAGGGGAGAAAAAGAATAAACAGCAGGAAGTAATTGAACATATTGATGAAGCACAAACTGAAACAGACTTAATAAGCCAGTGAGGAGATTTTGAAAGCAGAACAAAAATGTAACAAACGCTGCCAACCATTCTTTCAGAAGAGGTCAAACTTGATCGCCAAAATCCCAAACTTCTGGATAACACTTACTTGTCAACCATCCACAAACGTCTGCATTGCTTGGGGAGGGGGATGAAGAGGTACTGAATTCCTGGGCGAGAGTGGAAGGGACAGAATGTGAAGATATTGTATCAGGTTATAGAATCGATTTTCATTTTGATGAAAATCCTTACTTTGAGAATAAAGTTCTGTCCAAAGAATTTCATCTGAATGAGTGGGTGATCCATCCACACAATCTACTGAAATCAAATGGAATCCGGATAGGACTTGACAAAACGCACAAGTTAGACACAGACCAAAGCCAACCGGAAGGGGCAGCAGGAAGAACCATTCGGATGCAGGTGCAGATGAGTTAGGAGGGGTCATCAACGGTGACATTTGGCCAGATCCGTTACAGAGCTATTTGGTTCTTGATATGGATGATGAAGAAGGTAAAGAAGATGATGATGAGGGTGAAGAAGGAGCGGAGGATGAAGGAGAAGATGACAAAATAAGAGCACTGATGAATTCCAACCTTATAAAATTTTTCTTCAGTCCCTGGGAGCAGGTTGCAGTTTTCTTTGTTTGTTGTGTTCAGACACCCTATTCTTGAGGTCTCCTTTCTCTCCTCTACACCATGGTTACTTCTCAACTTATTTTTTGGGGAAATATCATGAGCAGCTAAGTGGGAAAAGAATCTCTACCCCTTTTTGCTCCCAAATTAATTTTTATCCCTTCCTGTCTCAACAAAAACAATGGAATCAACACACCACCATGCTCCGTGGGGGGAAAAGAAAATGTTTCTGTTCCCTGGTGCTGCCCTTGCGTCGTGGTGCACAGAATTCCTGCTTTTTCCCTCCTTTCTCGGGGTACTGGGCTCAGATATTACACTGTGTCTCGATGTGACTATAGACAGCAACTGCCAACTGTATCTGTCTACTTCTCCTGTCTAAAAAAAGAAAAAGAAAAAATGGGATTACAGAAAGTCAGCAAAGGGTGGATTTGAGATGTTTGTATGGGTTAAGTGGGCATTTTGACAACATGGCTTCTCCTTTGGCATGTTTGTGATGGTTAATGGATGTCCTTGAAGTTTAAGATGACACTCTTAAACTAAAACTCTCTCCTAATGATGACTCGAGCCCCGCCCCTCCATGGGAGGCTCAGCAGAACCTGTAGGGTCTTATCTGGAATTGACACTTTCTGTTGTAATTTTGTTCCTGTTTGTCTTTTAAAATCCTTCTTGTTTCACTGGAAAGGAAAGATGATGCTCAGGTTTAAACATTGACAGTGTACAAGTTGCCTTGTTATAAAAAAACTAAATGCGTACATGCGTACACACACACACTCACCCTGTATGAATTGGGCAGTGTTTCATTATGTTGTAACTAGAATTGTTATCAGCTGGAAACAACTAGCCGGCACCTAACCATCACACAGGAAGCAGAATGCCATGTCTTGTCCCCGTGGAGTAGCTGGTGGGTATGAACTACCCATCTTTGGTCTGGAAGCCAAGTGCTTGACCATAGGATCACTAGAGCTTCTTTCAAGGTAGGTAAAGTATAGTTAGCATGTGGGACCTGGCTTCCACCCCTTGGAGGCTCTTGATCTTAGTTCAAGAGCCCAAAGCAGGGAATAAGCCCATCACATCTGCCTTCCAGAAAGCCAAGGGTAAAACTAGAGAGAAAAAGTAGGTGGTCCCAACAGACCAGAACATGACAAATGACCTGGGTCACCCCCAGCCATCCAGTTCCAGTTGGTGTGTGTGTGTGTGTAATACACATGTAAACCGCTGTCTAGTTCCTACGCTGAAACTGATATGAAATTCTCCAGGATCTCCGCCACCACCTGTCTCTCAGTGCTTGTTGAAGGGTTTCCCAGTACCGGGACCGTGAGAGGGGCTTCCTGTACAAGAGAACGAAAAGCCTGCAGGGTGTCCTGGGCCAGCCGCACAATGTTCAAATCTATTGCTGCAGCCACAATGTTTAAATCCTACTGGTTACTAAATTCAGTTAGCATAAATTCCTTCTCCGAAATTAAGTCCAAGCCATCCTGGTCCTGGATTAAGTGCAGGCTAAGTAAAATGTCCATGGTTTGAACAGACCAACTACTTGGCAGGAGGAAGACATGACAGGCTGCTTCCCTAATGATTTCAGCCTAGGAAACCCTAGGGGAAGCCTGTGTGCTGTGGGCATCGCCTAGAGGCAAAGACTTTCAGCAAAGAGCTTGGGAGAAGAGAGGAAAGGTGCCTGGGACTCCAAGAGGCTCCACAGCTGGGAGGGGAATGCTAATGATAAAGAGGCAGAGCTGGGGGTGGGCGGGGCAAAGCAGGCCCCAAGGCTAGGGAGCTGGGGGAAGGGGCAGGGTTTCAGGCACCGAGACCCAGGACCTAACCAACTCACAGTGAGGTGGTGCAGGTTTGCAGCAGGACAAGTTGGGTTTTTGACATTTTAACTTTGGGGGTGGGAAAGCCAGAGAAATTTCAGAAAGATATTCATAGCTGACACTGAGCAAATTGTACCAATATGTACCTTGCAAAAGCCTGAGAGAGGAGGACCTCCGATTCCTCCCACTTCGGCAGGTAAAAACGTAAGAAAAATGATGTGCAGAACCAAGTAAGCACTCGTATTACGTTTCATGGGTGGCAGATGAAACCACAAGTCCGGGACCCAGAGCCCACCCTTAACCCATTGCAGTTCCGTCCTGTCTCCATACGTCCATAAAGGAAATGTGTGTGTGTGAGAGAGAAAAAGTAGAAAGAGAGACAAATCAAGGAAACAAAAAATATGACCCTAGAGCATTTTACTGGTGTTAAGAAAAACATACAGTAAAACAGCACTCCCAGTACACTAGGCAAAACCAGATCAGACCGTAAAAGCCTCTAAAGTTTGAACCCCTGTAAGACAGAAACCTGCAAAGAGAAACGCAAATATTTCCCACTAAGACAAGCTGTAAGACAGCCTCCTGTCCAAAGCAGAAAACTTTCAAGACCCGGAAAACCCTGGTAGTTCCCTGAGGTTTCGGTTCTCACGGGTTCACTCTAACACAGGTAGCTTCCTAACCTTAGGACAATACATGTTCTTAAAAAACAAAAAAGAAAGGTTAACAGTAAGGACTAAAGAGAGGACAATAATAAACCTACTCACAAATGGTCCAGGAAAATTAACACGTAGATAACAAGAATTAGAGAACGCAATAAAACAGGACAACCTGCCTAAAACCTTAAGTTACTTTTAAAACAAAAGGACAATTTCTGGGACTTGTAGGTAGCAAGTGCAGAAACGCAATGGAGCTTTCTGGGAAGACGTGTTCAGCTACATACCACATACAAGTTAGGGAAGCTGACCTGAGGCGGACTCTTAGGTGTGGCAATCAGCCTCCCACGACCTTGGTCAAGGAGGATTCTAGTGCCCCAAGGTGGCCAGAATGCAGGGCGGGGAGCTGCTGAGACAGCACCCTTGGGGCCCTGTGGAACTGGAGAAGCAGCCAGGGGACCTGGGGGCACAGGGGCGGGCGTCAGGCCAGGCGAGCAGCCAAGGGTCGTGCTGGGGGCAGGAGCAGGTGAAGTCCCGGGATACAAGTGCTCGCTGCCTTTTGGGATTCCTTCCTCCAGGTTCTAAAGCCCAACCTCACCTTGTGATAAACTTCAGGCGGGGATGTGACCAGCGTGGGGCAGAAGGATGTGACTCCATGTGCCAGGATTTTCTGGGCCACCAGGGCGACTCCTGACCCCACGTCCTCGGTGGCTTGAGAGAAATCAACGCCAAACCCGCCTGCAACCATAGAAAACGAAGTTGCCAGGTGCTCGGAGTCTCCTCCCCGCTCGCCCCCAGGCTTCGCTCCCTGGCCGCACCGTTGATCTGCACGTCGATGAAGCCCGGCGCCAGAATGCAGCCCCCGCAGTCCCGCTGCTGGTCAGCCAAGCGCTGCTCGTCAAAAAAGAGCTTTTCCGGGTCCAGAATGCGGCCCTCACGGACCCACAGGTCCTCCCTGTTACGGAGCGGCGGGGCTCGGATTGCCGGACTGTCCTCACCCCCGGCCCGGTGCCAGCGCCACACCCGGTCCCAACACCCCGACCCTCCACCTATTCCCGGTCCTCGCCCAGTCCCCGGGCCGACTCTGCGCCCCACCTGAGTAGCTTGCCGGCCCGCAGAAGGCGGCAGTTGGTGAACCTGAGCACTGGGGCCCGAACCGAGTCCTGCCCGCCGCGCATCGTGAACCTAGCAGGCAGCGCCGGTAACTCTGCGGAGTCCGAATCCCGCGCCCCACCAGGGCCAGAGCGCGCGCGGTGCCATGTGACCCTCAGCTGATCCCGCGGCGCACCACGTGACCATCGCAGTCACATGACAGCAAAGCCCTATCGATCACATGACGCAACGCAGGGCGGGGCTCATTGCAGCCGCTGCACCCCGCCCTGGCGGCTCCACCCCAACCCCCAGAGATGCGGCGCAGACACACGATGCAGTCACATCCGAGAACTTTATTGGACACAGGTCTTGCAGGGCCCGCGGGGCCCCGCACACTGCCCTCCCCGGCAGAGGGAGGTGTAACATCCACGTTGAGTCTCAGTGACCGGGAAGCCCACAACGCAACACGCTACCTAAGGTTACTATAGAGTGGGAGACAAGGGCTGCTCCACAGACGTATGAACAGATCAAATCTTTTATAAATAAACATCCAGTGAAGAGAAAAATGACGCATCTAACTCATCCTTATACACAGAGCACTCTGGGGGCAGCGGGGCCGGTTCCTCACTGAAGGGCCGATGGGAGAGGAGTGGGCCCAGACGTCCACGGCACGGGGCGGGGCCGGGGGCAAGGCGGGCAACAGACGATGGGCACTAAGACACTGCGCATTTACAAGACCAACTACTTGGGGTGGGGGGGTCGGCGGCCCCGGGCGTGTGTGTCAGGCTGTTCATTCTGGAATGAGGAGGGGGTGGTCTTTACATCGGATTCGTGGCGGCTAGGCGCAGAGGAGAGGCGGCTACTTTGTGGAAAGGATGAGGGCCACGATGAGGCCGTAGAGGCCCAGCACCTCGGCGAAGATGAGGATCAGGATCATGCCCACGAAGAGCCGGGGCTGCTGGGCTGTGCCTCGCACACCGGCGTCCCCCACGATGCCAATGGCAAAGCCAGCGGCCAGCCCACTGAGGCCCACGCTCAAGCCGGCACCCAGCTGAAGGAAGCTCCTGCAGGAAGAGACACAAGGTGAGCGTGGGCTCCACAACACAGCCCCCAGTCCTGTGGAAAGCCAGGACCCGGCACTCACTTGTAGAGGGAGATCTTGTCATTCAGGGAGTTGGCGATGAGGACAGCCACCACCAGGCCATAGATGGCGATGATCCCCGCCATGACCACTGGGATGATGGACTTCATGATCAGCTCCGGCCGCATGACAGACATGGCCGCGATGCCTGTACCGCTCTTGGCAGTGCCATAGGCGGCACCCAGGGCTGTGAGAGGGAGGGAAGGAGGGAAGCAAGGAATAAAGTGTGAGGGGGCACTGGGCAGGGCCTGTCCTCTGGGGAGGCCCTTCTCAGGCAACCCAGCTGCTTCCTCAGAGAGGATGATGTAGGGCTTCATCAGCTCCATCCTGAGCTCTCCAGGCCTGGCTGCAGCTGTTTATGACCACAAGGTGGAGCTAGAGCAGCTCCAGCTGCCCAGTCCCAGGGGAAAAGAGGGCACTGAGACCCTAAAGTCCCAGACACTGGAGTCACAAAAGACCTGGTAAAGCACAAGCCAACTCCAGTCTCACCAGTCCAGGTACCATGTCAGGCTAGCCTTGAGAGCCACCCCCCAGTTGGGGGCCAGAAGGAGCTGACTTGGGTACCCGCTCCCCGCCCCCCTGCACACCTGAGGGCCAGCCCTGGTAGCACCCTGCCCTCCTATGCAATGGAATCCTGAGGGTCCAGAGAATCTTCTCTAAATTACTACAGAAGACCTTCTATGTGCCTGCAACCTTAAAGTTCACTAGGCTAGCCAAAAGCACAGGGAACCGTCTCCGGAGGGCCTGTCTGCTCTGATGCTGCCCCCACCCACGGAACAATGGAGAATCACAGGGATTCCAGGCAGCTGCCACCTGCCCTCCAGGGTGACCACAGGGGTCTGCTGTGTGGCTGGGGGCAGGCTTGGCCCAGGGTCATTCCAGGGGAGCAGCAAGGCATTGGTGATACAGGGCTGGGCTGCTCTAGAGGCCGCCTTCTATGCTCAGGCGGCAGACCTGAGCAATCTGGCCGTTTGTGTGCACGCTTGGCTGGACTTAGACTCCTTCTGGGCTAGGACAGAGAAGGGCTCTGGAGATGGCCACATGGCTGGTCACAGGAGGAAGGGGCAGTATAAGTTCCGGACAGTCAGGTGGGAAGGGTTGTAGGGTCCCTCCACGCCTGGACGTCAGCACCTTTCACCAGAACTTGGGGCCATGCCTGCAGCTCTCCTGCCACTAATGAAGGTCTCTTCAGGCTTCTGAAAACCCAGCTGCCACTGGGAAGACTGAATGCTTGGAAGAGAAGGCACCAGGGGCAGAAAGTGCTCAGGCCCTTTGATACCAGAGCATTAGGGAGATCATGGGGCTGTAAGATGAACAATGGAGGAGACGGGACCAATACACCAGGGACAGGAAATAAAAGCCCTGGGCAGCGAGGTGCGCAGGCACTGCCAGACCGAGGCAATAAACCAGGAAGCAGTTCCGGGAACAGGGTTAGGGTTAGCGGGAGGAAGTCAGAAAATACGGAAAAGCAGCAACGGGTGTCTTGGTGAAAAGTGATTAAGAAACAGAAGTTGTCACAGTGGAGAGAAAAGAGGAAGGTGGAATGTGGGTAGGAGTAGGCCCTGTCACAACAGGCCAAGCCAAGGGTGGTCGGAAAAGAGCTGGGTCAGCCTGGGATAGAGAAACCTGTGGAGTGAAACCCTGAGATGTAGGTACAGCAGAGGTGGGCCAGCCCTGGAGATTGGCCCCAGGCAGAATACGGTCTAAAAGCAGAAATGAAGTCAGAGGCTGGCTCAGTGAGAAAGAAAGTGAGAACGTGGCAATTGTGGGGCCGCACTGAGCCCTGTGTGGTCGGTCAGGGAACTGGGGTGAGGGCAGATGACGAGGAGTGAGCATGAAGGCCCACAGGATCAGACAGGCCCATTGTCCAGGAGTCTGGGTTGAACCCTGGGCTGCAGCAGCCTCTTCTGGTCGAGACTGAAGGCACCTGGCAGGTTTCTGGATGGAATGGGAAGAGGTCCTGGGGAGGGGAGAGGAAGAGAGCTAGGTCTGGAAAAGGCTTTGGGAGTATACAGGGACAGCCAGAATGACCGTTACAGGATGCAGGGATCCTGTTTGCTGACTGGCACTATGAGAGCTCAATCAGAAGTTGACTGAATGACAACCCACAGGTGGCCAATGAAGGTCAGTTGGGATTTTCAGAGCAAAACCCAAGAGGCCGGTGGTGGAGGGTTCAGAGGATCTCCAGAGCACGTGGCACTCCCAAAGCTCTGGAAAAAGCAGGCTGGAAGAGAAAGGGAAGTCCAGACCACTTCTCCCACCACAAATGACCCCCTGCAAGCACATGACAGCGAGAGCAGTACTCACGCAGCAGCATGTGACCCTAGGCAAGTCTAGGCAGGGGCTCCCACAGAGCAACCCACCCCCAGCCTCCACCCACAGGTGTTTACAGTCAGCAGAGACCTTGTTTGGAGTTCAAACCTGCCACATACCTATAGGAAGGGCTCCCCCTGCACAGGTAAGGTGGGGCAGGGCGGGGTCAGCATAGCCCAGAACCAGACCTACCTGAGGTGGCCCAGACCAGGCCAGACCAGTCCCTAGCCAGGTGGGGACCTGCTTCTCCAGGTCCAGTGTTGGCAGTCCAGGCCACGCGCCTCTTTCTCTAGATAGGGCTGCCCGAACCGACCCAGCTGACACTTCAGAAATAGGGGATCGCTTGGAGAACCCTGGAGGAAGGTCCCCTCCCCCACACTTCGAGCAGCTCTGACAACTGCAGGAAAGTCACTCATTCATTCATCAGGACAGAGCTAGAGGACTCCCTCCCAAGATCCAGGTCCGTCAATCGGAGCACCTCAAGACAGCCCATAACACCCCCACCTAAGAATGACTCCATAAGACAGCTTCCCGCCCCTCCCCTCTGTCCTTGGGTCCCTTCCGACTCCCAGGACCAAACCCTGAACTTTCCCAACCAGCCCACACAGCTGACGGCGTTATTGAGAAACCGCGGCAAGCCCTATCCGGAAACACCTTCCCCCCCAGGGACAAACCCACTTGTCCCCGTCGAGGCCAGGCTCCCTCGGCCCCGATCCCTCGCCCCGCCGCCCACGGACAGGACGGCCCCGCATCGCGTGAGCCTGTGGAGGTGTGATGTCACACCTGCCCGTAGGATCGGGGTGCGGGGTGCGGAGCAGGCGCAGGCCCGCACGCCGCCCCTCCGCGCCCCCACCCCAGTCGCCCGTTCGCCTTTCCCGGCTAAGATGGCAGCGGGGCCGCCGCCCCACCCCCGCACCCGTGTGCTCGGCCCGGGAATTCCAGAATCCCCCGAGCCACCGAACACAGACCCAGGCCGCACGCTCTGCGCCCCAGCCCCCGACTGTCCCCACCGCCCGCAGTCACGTGAGGCGCCGGGCACCCCCCCCCAACAGCTCCGGATTCCGTCAGATTGACGTCACAGGTAGAACCCCGCGGGCTGCGGACAGGAGCCCCTCACTCCTCGGCGCCCCCCGCCCGCTGTCCCTCCTGCCACGGCGCTCACCGCTGAAGACCATGGCGGCCGAGGCGCCCATGACGGCGAAAAAGGAGGCGTACTCGGGGCCGGACGCGGTCTCGGACATGTCTGCGGGCAGGGGGGTAGCTCAGCGGGGAGATTCGGACAGGCGCGGGGCGGGCGCAGAGGCAAGGGGACCTGCGGCAGTGAAAGCGATCCGGCCCGTCTGCCGCTGCGCTCTAAATACCAACACCGCAGAACAAAATGGCGGCGGCCGCCGCGTCACATGACCCTCTGCCCGCCCCCTTTGGGCCGTACCACATCGTGCCGGCGGGGGGAGCCGCGTATTGGCGACACCGGAGCTGCTCTCGGACTACCCCGCGCCGGGTCACAGCCCGGAAAGCTCGGGCTCCTGCGATGCGTTCCACCTCGGTCTTCGGGTTGCGCTGCCGGGTGCCGCTGTTCTCTCGAAACCCGCAACGTTGGATTCGACCGGCCCCTCGGGCCAGGGCGGGGCGGTGGAGCTCATATTAACATACGGGGCGTGGTCTCGATGCCCCACCTTCTCTGCGGGTCGTGAGCTGCCGACTAGGTTGGAGTCTGAACGCTGCTTTTTTGGGAAGCGTTCCTTATGCAGAATGTTATCACTGCCTGGCCTTTCCTACGCGTCTCTCACGGACTGATCTCCAGCGCAGGGCCAGGCTGGACCACAGACTCTCCGGAGCAAACTGGAATGTCGAGTCTGGAATGCCAGCCTCCTCTGCTCCTGAGCCCAAGAGAGCCCCCACCCTACCTATGAGGTCACTCTCTCTGGCTGCAGCCCTCTAGGTCATCTCCAGTTGCTCCCTATGGTCCCAAATCGTCACTCTAGGGCAGGGATGTGGACCATCCAGCTCGCGGGTCTTAGGTGGCACTGCTAAAGTAATCTCAATTCTAACTATCACTTTGTTGTTGTTGTTGTTAAGTGCCGTGGAGTCTGTTCCGACCCATAGTGACCCTGTATAGGGTTTCCAAGGAGCAGCTGGTGAGCTTGAACTGCAGATCTTGAAATTCAAATGGCTTTGCAATCTGACGCATTAGCCCACAGCGCCACTATCACTTTGTTGTTGTTGTTAAGTACTGTGGAGTTGATTCCCACTCATAGTGACCCTGTACAGGGTTTCCGAGGCTGCAAATCTTTACCGGTGCAGAAAGCCTCATCTTTCTCCCACGGAACAGCTGGTAGTTTCGAACTGTTGACCTTGAGGTTGACAGCCCGATTCGTAACCACTACGCTACCAGAGCTCCTTACTAATCACTTTAGGGGTGAGTTAAGTGTTTGACTGTATATGTTGTTTAGTGCTGTTGAGAGTTCCGATTCATAGCAACCCCTCTATAGGGTTTCTGAGGATGGCCTGGTGAGTTTGAACCGCCCATCTCTCGGTTCAAACCGACTTTAATGTCCGGTGCATTATCCATGACTCCACATATAGCAAGCTCATTTTAAAGTTGACAATAAATTTTGGTAGAAAAAAAGTTTCTTCACGCGTGCTCTAGGATCTCACCAGTCTCCTTTAGGACCAAGCCCATCAGCTCCACCCTGCTATTTGGTGACCTCCATTTCTGGAAAAAAAAAAAAGAAAAGAAAAGGTGCCTCCTTCCTCACACCTGTCCCCTCCCCTGTTTCAGGGACCCAGACATCAGTTGTAGGAGTAGGGACCCCTCAAAATGTATGCATGCCTGGTTCGTAGCCTTGCCAGTGTTGTGACCTATTGAGTATTTCTGCTTGTCTAGGAGTCCTGGTGTGGCGCTGTGGGCTAATGCGGCAAATTGCAAAGTCGTTTGAACTGCAAGGTCGGTGGTTCAAGCTCACCAGCTGCTCCTTGGAAACCCTATACAGGGTTGCTTTGGGTGGGCACCGACTCGACGGCACTTCACAACAAGGGACTTCTGGTTCTGGTGTGGCGCTGTGGGTTAATGTGCTGGAAGGTGGGCAGTTTGGGCACACCAGCCTCTCTTTGGAAACCCTATATAGGGCTGCTGTGGGTCGTAACCAACTCGACGGCACTTAACAACACAACAACAGGGACTTTTGGCGTAGCACTGTAACCACAAGGTCAGCAGTTCAAACCCACCACTGTCCTCAGAAACCCTATGCAAGGTCACACTATGAGTTGGAACCGACTTGACAGCACTTAACAACAACAAGGGCCCCTGGACTCCTGGTGTGGCGCTGTAGGATAAGCACTGGGCTACAATCCACATGGTCGGCAGTTCAAACCCTCAGACACCCTCTACAGAGTGGCCTATCAGAAGCATCTTGACGGCACATGACAACATCATCAAGTGGCCCCTAATCTGTCCCTGTTTCTCCCTTCTGCCCTTGACTGGCACTGCCCACTGCCCCATGGAGTAGTATGGGCCTTATCTACAAACCTCTGTTCCTTAAACCCTTCTTGTCCCCCATGTTCAGCGTCCCTGGCCGTGGCTGAGTCTCCCCTGCACTCCTAAGCCCCCACCCAGGCATTCCAACACTGTCCCTATGCCCGAGTGAGGCCGGGGAGTTACCTTCCCTGATCCTACCCTTCCTCAGGCAGAATTCTCTGTGCCTCCTTCCAGGCAGGAAACTACCATCTTCTTCCCCCTCCTCAGCCAAATCTGCCACCCTCTGAACCCAAAGCCCCAAAAAGTCCCACGTCTGATGTGTGTCCTGCATCCAGAAAGGAGGCAGCAAAGACCCCTAGAAGCCCTCCCCACCTCCTTCTGTCCTGCTTTTTTTCCTCCAACTCAGCCTTCTTGAAATAGGACCCTTCCCCACAGTGCTCCCACCTCCTCGCTGCCTGGCCCTCCCCAGCTCCTTGCCCAGATCAAGGTGGCCCAGTGACCACCATTTCTCTAGGGGCAGGGACATTTGGCAGGCTTCGCCACACCCGCTTCTCTCTCCTGACCGCTTCCTACTTATTCCTCGGGCCACCACTTCCTAGCATCATGAAGAGGGGCAGAACTGGGCCCCATGTGTAGCCACAACTTCTCTGCAGATCCGGGAACTTTCCCAGGGCTGCCTTGCCCTTCCTTGTCCCTGGACATTCACAGCCTGACCTGCAAAATCCTCCATCTCTACCTCCTGTGTGCTGACACCCAGACTCATAGCTCAGGATACAAGGATGCGGGAGCCAGGGGACTGGGTGAGGCTGATGGGGGCCAGGAGGGAGCTGTGAGACCGTCCGGAGGGGGAGGCTTGTGAATGGGACCTAGCTGGAGAGGAATGAGGGTAGAGTAGTCAGCCTACAGGGCTGTAGTATGGAGGTGGGGAGTACACAGAGGTAGGGGGGTGGGAGATGGGTCCCTACCACCCCTACCACGCTCCCTTTGGCAGTGGTCAGGGGAAAGAGGTCACACTGTGTCTTTGCTGGAACTTGGGACACCTCAAACAAATGTGTCTCAAACTCAGCTGACCCTGCCCTGGTGTGACCACCAGGGCATCCCCAGCTAGCCACCTAACCTACAGATGTAGGATTTGTTGCCCCACATACACACACATCACAAGAGTCCTGGTGTGGCACTGTGGGTTAATGCGCCAGACTGCAAAGCCCTTTGAACTGCAAGGTTGGTGGTTCAAGTTCACCAACTGCTCCTCGGAAAACCTATACAGGGTCGCTGTGGGTCGGAACCGACTGGGCGGCACTTAACAACGACAACAATTGTGCAGTCTTGGTGTGGCACTGCAGGATAACACACTGGACCGCAATGTCACAGGTGGCTGTGAGTGGGAACTGACTTAATGGCAGTTAACAACACAATTGCACGGTGGCTCTGTAGGATAAGAACTGGACTGGGAATCACAGGTTGGCAGTTCAAGCTCACCAGCAACTCCATGGGAGGAGAAAGATTTCCAGCCTCAGAAACTCTATCCTGGGTCACTAAGAGTTGGAACCAGCTCACTGACACTTAATAATTGCTAGATAGAGCCACTTGAAGTAAATCTCCCCGAACTGAGGGTGGGTGTGAAGGCAGACCTTCCTTGGCTCTTCTCAGACACCCGTTTTTTTACACATTGAAGGTTGGTGGCAGCTCGGCCCTGGGCAAGTCTTGCGGCCATTTCCCAAGGCGCACACTCGCTCCTTGTTGCTGTGTTCCAGTGCCTCTGAAGGCTGGCTGGTTCGCTCTCCTGCAGAACCCAGACATCTTGGTGTTTTCCATTCTTAACCCAGGGTGCCCCAGCACGCAGTCTTCCGTGTCACTCCTCCTCTTCCTCAATTTCAAACACACACACACATCCGGCCCCTCTGTTCCTTACTTTCTGCCCTAGGTCCTCTCTCTACCAAGACATTCTTCTCTTGAAGCCTCTGGCTTCCTTATAAGTGACCAGTCTGACCAGTCACTTCCCTCAAGAAATCCCCCCAAGTTGCCCTCGGAGGTCTTCTCCCATTGCACATCCATCTTTTCTGGCCCATAGCCTTGAGCACGTGCTCCTTCATCACTAATTCCGCTTTCGTCCTCAAGTTAGCTCTATTGCTACGCACTCTTTAAAGCGAGTGTACAAACCACAAGGTTGTCGGTTCAAGACCACCAGCTGTTCCACAGAATAAGGATGAGGCTTTTTGCTCCTGCAAAGATCTGCAGCTTTGGGAACCCTATACAAGATCGCTATGAATCAGAATCAACTCGATGGCACTTTACAAGGACAACTCAGGCTTTAAAAACTACTCAGAAACCACCTTCTCCATGAAGCCCTCTGGCCTTGCCTGTGAGAGCCCCAATTCTCTTCCTCCACGTGCCCTGAGCCCCTACTATGTGCCTGTGTGGTGACTCAGGTGACCCTGTGGGGAAGATGCCATTCTCACTGTCAACTTGCAAACGAGGAACCAGCGCAGGAAGTTCCTCAAGAGTCTTGTTCAAGGTCATGGATGCAGGATCAGTGGAACTGAAACTCATATTCCAGGCTGAGGACAGCCCATCTGGTCACTAGCTAAAGAGGCTCCAAGGGCACGAGTTGTCATCGCTCAGACTTCCCAGCCACACGCAGGGTCCTGGAGTGGGCACGGTATTCCTCGGGCTGTGCACACTGTCCAGGAGTGTGGGATGGCGGTGGGGGCAGGTGGCTAGGGACCTAGCCACCCCACTTCCCCTGTGGTATGAAATCACAGA